CTTCCCGAACTTCGAGGGCCAGTATTTCACAGGGTTAGCTACTTTGATTCCTTGCCATCTTGCTACAGCACGAAAAGTGCAAAAATGCATAATCGCACCGGCCCGCCTGGTGCGTTCCAGTCTGGGTTTCAGCTGATTCGACCAAATCTGCATCGCTTGGTGGTCAGCTTGCTGGTGTTTGCTCTTTTTCCTGAAGAGATTATTAGCTTGGCGATTCTTTCGGCGTAGGAACTTTGGCGAGGCTTGTGAGCTGTCGTTGGTATTTGTTGAGCATCATCATCCCATGGACTACGATGAGTTACCTCAACACTCGTTGAAGGAAGTGCACAGAATCTCTCAAATGCAGCACTCTTTCTTCTTGAGTACAAGTTACTGAATAGGCGGTACCAGTTTGGCCTAGGGGTATCTCTTTCATCAAATTGGTACAGTAGCTTTCCTAAAAATTAGATAAGCCAGCGACCCGACAGCTGGACTCGATAAACAACGGTAGACACTGGAGGAGTAGAGTGTGCATCTGAAACTATGAACATCGGTCCAGATTCAAATCCGAAGAATTCAAAAGCTTGAAAAATCGAAGATCAGAGTTCGGCTTCGGAACTCCACCTTTCCCTGAAATGCCTCAGGTGTAGAATGAGGAAGTGGCTCGAGTTTGATTTACAGATCGATGTAATCTATCATTTAATCTCTGGTATATTGTTGTTTCCTATATCGCTGGTCGCACGTATGTTAGCGCTACTTGTGTTTCGTGAACTCTGGAATGCACTGGGTAGTTCTCATGTCGTTTACGATACCGATTACGTACTTTTGGCATACGGCGGCCTTAAGGGAGCACTCGCGCTGCTTCTGGTCCACGAATTCACAGAAAGTGTTGAACATGATCCATATGCTAGCCGAGTGGGCGAGAAGGTGGTGCTCTATGCCAGTTCCGCCGTTTTCGTGTGCTTAGTTATACAGGTATTTTCCTTTATTTCGATAATACTATGATAAGCCTGACTTTCCTCGAGAAAAAAAATGAATTGTTTTAGCACTAATCTGGTACAGAATGTTTAAAAGATTTCATGTTTTAATGCAGTTTCTTCTAAAACCAATGGAAAATTAGGAAATTAAACATCTGATTATCAAAAAAATTTATTTCACTACTTTCACTACCTACTGTTCCACCGTCATGTTTCTTCTTTCCACTGATGCGTTTGAAAAATTGGGCTTTTTTCATTCACACAGTTCCGTAAAGCCGCTCAAGCGGTGTTCAAAAAACATTTTTATGTTTTTAACATTTTTGAATCAGATCCAGTTCTTAGCCCTTTCTGGCCCTTCTTCTCTTTGCTAAAAATAAGACATAGAAATAAAAGTGTTAGTGCTTGAGAAAAGCGGAGATGCTCAGGATCTGTCCGTGTGAGGGTGGGGCCGCACCTGAGGTCCAGGCATATTTGTAAGGTGAATTTAAACGTAGACGAGTAGACCTTCAGGGTATGACATTTTCGTATGTGACAAATCGCGAGGGAACAAATCGCCGCTCTCGCTACATTAAAGATTCGGAAAAGAACGTAGAGCGTCATTTGAACCGTACATTACGCTCTAATATCGGTGCAATGCGCCGACAAGCTGATTCATACCTGACAGAAGCGAACTGGGCCGTTGTTAATGAACAGATCGAAGCTAATGTTTTTAAGGTGAGATTTGTTTTCTACGATCATTTTCAAATTTGGCTTGCTTTTCAATTGTCAAAATAAACCTCTTTCTTTTCTACCAATTAAGATAAAATGCCTCGTCATGGTCTAGAAGTAAGAACGCTTCGGACGAGGTGACTGAGCTCATCACACAAACCAGTGTCACCTCGAAGCGACAAAAGCCTTGCTAAGCACCTCTGTCGGGAAAATCGTTAAACTGATATCGTTGTAGGCAATGAAACTAATGTCAGGCGACAAGAACTTCTTTTCAGAGAAAATTCACCATTCTTTTTTCTACAGCTCGACCTGCTCTCCTCTTTTTCGAAGTAAGATTCTATTCAACAATAAAATCTTTATCGTTCAGACAGAGTTAACTATGTTTGCTGGAAGTATGCCTGATTCTTTTCTTCGTGAAAATTTTATTTTTCTAGTTGAAAATTGGGAAATTTTACTCATCTTTTTTGATGTTTCATCTCCTCGGTTCTTCGTTTTTCTACATTAAAACCTCTTGTTTTGAAAAAAAAACTTGGATCCATATAAATTTACTTAACTATTTTCAGGGTTTTGCAAGAAATATAGGACAGTATTCTCGAGTTCAGACCAGTTTTATCGAAGAATCAATGAAAAGTATGGACAGCCAATCAGTTGATGAGTCTTCACTTATGGTGCTTAACCTCATTTTTTGTCAAAATCAGCTCTCCCTAACTACACTCATTTCCCCTGGCTCTCCCTATTTCATGTCTGTGAGAAGTGGAAGTATTCGAAGGTAACTCGCGTGTGCATTGGCATTTTTTCGAAACCAATCATCTGCGAGTGCTGACCACTGTTTTAATCGAGAGCTGCTTAGCAGTAAGCTAAAAGTTATTTCGCCACCTTCGCACGATCCAATAATATTTATCGCCGAAAAACTGTTTGAAACTCTTTGATAAACGGATTAGTTTATGTCTGCCTGATTTGCAGAAAAAAGACAATAGCGACGTATGCACCAGTTACTACAGTATCCTGTTGGCACGAGTGTATAGCTTATGGTCATTGGGAGCGGTAGCAGGACGCGCAGCTCACCTAGTCATCGACCTTCTAGAGCACGGTGTCGATGAGGGCCAGCTGACACTTGCCGATTTCCGAGAACATATTTATTCCGCTGAAGACAAATGGTATCATCGGCTGGAGCTTAAAATTCTCACTATACTACGGGTTAGAATTTTCACAGTACAGATTATCGTTTTAAGAATCTCTCAGTGCAGCATTTGCAAAATAAATATCGGCGCCCGCCAGGGTAACTCGTGCGGTCATGCGTTTTATGCAATTCTACCTGTCGGAAAATATTCACTGCTTTGCTGCTTGGCATGTGCCGAAACCGTCGAATAAAATTTACATATTTCTGCAGGTGAGATCTAGACGTATGTGGAAGTTGAATCTAAAATTTTCGAAGTCGCACACAGATAGAAAGCACCTTGAAATTCCGGCTTCCTGTCTTATCTGGCCCCGGATTTAAGTAATCTCCCCCAAAATGCATGCATTCGTATGTAAAACATGGATGCATATGCAGTCTGAATCTAAAATTTTCGACTCTCATATGGAAGCATAACATTTTCCTTAATTTTTAAATTCCAGTTTTTCTGGTCTTCGAATTAGTAACGTCCCGGCCAAAACCTCATGTGCCTTGCATGTGAGAGCTACGTTTGAAATCTTTAAATTTCATGTAAACATTGAGCACCCTTCTTGTAAAGTTTAAACTTCGTGACATTTGTGGTCCCCGAATCAATAATTTTTGCGTCAAAACTTTCAAGTAACTGTGTGTGAGACCTACATGTGTGTGTGAGAGCTAATTTTAAATAGCTGGGTTGTATCTGAGTAGAAAACAATCACCTAAAATTTCAACCTTCTAAATTTTCTGGTTTTGGAATTATTAATTGCCGCGCCGAAATTTTCACGTGTCATTCCGCGAGTACAGGGTGTATGTAAAGATTGAATTAAAGTTTGGAGTGTGTATATAAATTTATGTTCTTTCCGCGCACGTCCAGACAGTTCCTTTTTAGCTCGAAAGCAAAATCTTCTCCTTGTCTTTCTCGCTATGTAAAAGAGGCGTTCGAAAGTAGTCGAACTGATAGTACATTGCTATCAGCCAATACTTCTTATCAACGGTTCGCCCTTACTTTTGAATAACTGCACTATAATTTCCAAAAATTGTTGATTTTCCGTTGTTATTATTATTTCAGAGTTGGATGGACACGAATTCTTGGCTGAATCGTCTGAACTGGATTGGGCAGCCTTTTCTACCTTATCCTGTTCCAACCAATATACCTATTTCCATTCCTGTCCGATCAATGGAATGGTCTGTTATAAAAAATTAATGCTCCCTCCGTATCCTCTCTCCATGAGAGACGGAAGTACTAGGAAGCGTTCCCAGGGTAGGAGCGGGGATGAATTGCTCTTAGATCTCTAAGAGCAATTCATCCCTTCCTCGCTCCTCTAGTAAGTTGACGCGAAAGTCCCTTATAAGCAAGCTAATGGCATGCGCTATTACGGTTTATCATCGATAATAATGAACGAATTGCAGAGGGATCATTTTTCTTATTAGTGGAGTCAAACTCTCATCTTTCTGCATGACAGCAGCGCTTCTTCCTGCTGCGACATCCCGGCCAGCTAGCGTTCTTGTAGTATATTTTATCATGTGTAAAGACTTATTATGCGCAATTCTGAAATATGAAGAAGCATTTTAGTAGCGTCTTGATTTCACAGTCTGAATTTTTACACCGAATTTTCTACTCGGTAAGCTTAAATGTGGAAATTGATTCTTTGCGGGGCATATCATTCCAGGTGGTGCGTATTTTCCGCATTTCTGGCCATCTTGCAATCATTGCTGATTGCCTTTGCCATTTTCTGGCGTCCAGAAGTGCCAGCGCGTATTAGTTATGCTATATTTATGTTCACATTTCTTATCGCTTTCATATTTTTCACTGAAGAAATTGTGCACTTCCACCGGTTGCGGAAACCAACATATCAACAGGTCAGCTATCTATTTCGCATTTCACTAATTATTTTTTGGTGCGCTTCAGTGGTAGATAGAATGGTATCGTTTCCTACTCCCAGACGGTAAAGCACACCACCGCGGTTTTGGAACATTATGTTCAGCACACGATTAGGACATTTCAAAACGGCTAGAATATCGCCGAAAGTTTCTGCCTGGAGAAGTATTCTGATGGTAATTTTTTCAAGTAAAGTAAGAATGGCCAGAAGACTGATCAGCAGGTGATGTAGTACTGATCAAAACAAATTGAAAAAGCCAGCTGCATGAATGGAGAACTGCATTATCAACAGTTTAAAACCTAACTCCTTCAAGTACTCCTCTCTTGAATTTCAGGATTTGGAGCGTCTGGATATGGGCTGTATTAGTCGACTCTCCATCGAATTTTTACTTTTGCTTCTCTACATCTTCCTAATCTTTGGCATTTGCGTTACTTTATCTGTCATTCTAGCTAAATATCCGAACGGTTCATGTGTAAGGGATGATGGGAGATGGAGAGTACTCTGTTAGTGCTTTGTTCTTCAGTTGGTCAAAAACACTGGCTGCTTAAATCGAATTCAACTTGCTAACCAAGCAGACAAGGAAGAGGGTGCTATCGGCAGCGATCGATCTTACCAGTAACAACTACCCCATGTTGATAAAAGCTCGGGAAAAGCATATATTTGCTATTGTGGAATTTGTAGGTTTTTAAAAGATCATTGCTGGCTTCTCCTTTTGCATAGGTAAAGGTCACTTTGAAAATATCAATAAACTTTAATTTCCAATGAATGTGCTAGTTCTTTGGAGTACTTTAATGAGTAAGATTGTTGATGCTTTTATTTGTCTTCTACCACTATTCGATGTCAAATGTTTGCAGCTGTCTGTAATGCTATGCGCTTTCTGTTACTTTCTTTCCTAGTGCTGTTGGCCCTGCTGAAACTTATCCGTGCCACTCCGTTGTTTATTTTCACGCTTCATGAGGCGCTATATTCTGCTAGCGTAAGTAAATCGTATGTTTTTCGTTAATCAATGCTAAATGCTGCATACGATTTAGCAGTAATTGCGAGAAAATGATTACTTGGGTGGTCACTGAAATGAAAATATTTAGTATACAACAGGAATAAACTGAATAATGCTACTATACCAAGAAGTTTTGTCACAGCTACCATGACTTCTGGATGGATTCATGCTGATAACTGCCTTCATGATGACTTCAGCAACGGTTTTTTTTCAGCTCATACGAATCCGTGTTCAACTCTCAGCACTGTATTTCCTTCAATTTCTACTCAGCCAACCGCCTGCAAAATTTACATTTTTTCCTGGCGATTCATATCAGGTAGCACTCGGCGAACAGAAACATTTGAACAAAATTGTCGATGCTCTGATCCGGAAAGTGATGAAGCAGAGTCGGGAAGTGCTGGATCTGATTACCGTGATCAAAACCAAACAAGCCATCCGAATGGCCGCGCAAACACTTGAACATACTGTCGTCGACCTGCAAAAGTTAGTTATCCAAGAAAGAAACTGAAAATGAAAACATCTTGCTTATTCTAAATTTAACGCTCTAATATGCTAACAGTTCCGAATCGGTGGACTTATTACCTTCACCAGTCGTTTCGATGATTCTCAGTAGCATCGAACCGACTGATAAAATAACAGGAATGCTAAGATTGTCCGATGGAAAATTGCTGTGGGTATTCCGCGTTACTGGAATGATGGTGCGAGACTCATGGTAATGCAAGAGTGAGAAATCTATGGAATTTAATTTTATTGGGCATCCAGGTGTGCTTTTTCGGATTTACAACTGCGCAATTAACACAGTTGTGGAATCCACTTTGTTAAGACAATGCTCAGCTCTTCTTTTCTCTTTACCTGTACAGAAAGCAGTGTTTTTATAATTACTTTTATATCAGCTTATCACTCTTGGGTTCGTTTGTTTTCTTCGTTCGTTTAAAGAGAACTTTCGTATTCACCAGATAATTCAATACACAAGACTTATACAACCCGTCAGCGGTGAGAAGAAACGCGGCGATCAAACAACCATCTTACGTAGTTCCCTCATATCATTCATTACCGGAATGTGTTGGATTCCAATTGCTGCGCTGCTTATATTAGTTATTGTTCTTATTTTTTTTTTTTTGAAACCAAGACTCCTTATTGATGGCTGTTTTAGACAAGGATTTTTGCATCACGAATCAATGCAACAATGGGAGCGGTCACTCACTCGTTTACGCGAACATGGCGAACGCTTGGTCAGCGCACCAGTCTCCAGTTTCCAAGATCTTTTGGAATCTGTCCACTGGATCCAGGCTATTGACATCCGGAAAAGGCAAGATCTGATTGACAAATTGGTCAAACATTTTGAGCAACAGCAAGGAATTGAACAGCCCAATGGTCAGCTGGTGCAAACATTCGAGAAAACCATGTATTTTGTACAGAAAGGCATTTGCAAGTTCGTTTCTTTGCCAGAATGTTTTTAATTGCTTTACATTTACTTTAATTTGTCACTTCTGAATTAAAATTTGAGAAAGCCCTCACTTTTTATGCGTTTTTGCATACATAGAAATTCCAATTATACGTTTTTGCATATATGCAAGTTGCAATGATTGGCCAACGCTCGGGCTGCCCGTGCGAAGATGCTTTTTTTTGCATAGTTCCCCACAGTTTTTGTCGCTACCGGCATCGGTTTTTTCGGCAAATGCTTCTAGC